TAATAGGAAAAGAGTATTAGCAAATAGGAAGTTACTTAGAATGCAATACAGAACATTAAAGAAGAGCAGCTAGGTGTGGTGATAGTCCCAGCTACTCATAACTGAGGAAAGAGGAACTTTTGAGTCCAACAGTTTCACACTCACCTAAGTAATGCAGTGAGACTATCTCAAAAAAAGAAAAGAATATTAAGGATGTAACACTACTCACAGTACACATGACTGTAGCTACTTGGAAGACAGACAGGTGCATCAAAGTTCAGCCTACAGACGTATCAAGGCCCTGAATCAAAAAAAAAAAAAAAAAAAAAAAGGAAGCAGGCCGGTGCTGTATGCTTGGTGGTAAAGCACTTGTTTAGCACCCATGTGTGTGTACAAACATACACACACACAGAGGGAAGGGAAATAAAAGGGATATAACAAAAACAGTGGAAAAAAAACAGTATGTAGACAGATAATGGCTGAATTCTCAAACCAGGAAGCCCAATAAAACCCAAGCAGGATAATTTAAAAGAAATACACATGTAGACCCATTTTAGTGAAACTTCCAAACACAAGGCATTGTGTCAAAAGAATTCAGCAAAGGAAAATACAAAATATCCACTAAAGGAATTGTGTCTTCATATAATATTATATAACTTCATATGACAATAATGGAAACTAGCAACAAGGAATATTCTCTACCTAGAGCTACAAAGTATAAAACTATCTTTCAAGAGTAAAGATGCATTTAAGACAGTTTAGCCCACAGAACTGGAAGTTTGCTACCAATAGATCTTTAATAAAGGAATTGTGAAAGCAATACTTCAGAAGGAAGAAAAGTACTAGAAAGAACGGCCACACCCAAACAAATGGTAAACAAAAAAATTACTAACTTGTGAGTAAACATAAACGTCACCAACTGTATGCAGCAATAATTACGTCTGATTTATATACTTAAGATGCTATTAATGTTCTACTTCTTAATTTTGATGTGTATATTATAGTTTATCAAAACTTACTGAATTGTGACTTTTTAATATTTGTTACATTTCAATTCAAATAAAAAATGATACAAGGAAAAATATGGCAAAGTTGATGAAATCAAAAGTTGTTAGAAAAATTTTAAAACTTTATACATCACAGATATCTTAATTAGTATTATATTTCCAAAATGAATTAATTTGTAATTAAAATATTTCCACATGGAAAAGATAGCTTCATCAATGAATTCTACCAAACATTTGACAAATAGTGGCATTTGGCCTTACGTCTAGACTCACATTCTGTCCTTTACCTTTTATCCATGCAGATGGAGCTTTTATCCACAATTGTCTGTCCTCCATTGATAAATGCCCTCAGGGTGCTCACTCCCTTCCATTTCCAACTCACAGATATTTGAGTGTTGTTAGACAGGTTCCCACAAGTGCCCCATGCCTCATGTCAGAAAAACAGTGATGCACAGGTGAAAACAGTATAGGGACCCACTACCAAGTTATATCTACACAAAACTGATTGCTACTTCCTTATTTGCTGTGAGTGGATTCTCCATGGCCACATGGGAGATCCCAAAGGTTAGATCTCAGTATTTCCATTAGGGCCTAATGTATTTCTATTTGATTTTGCTCTTTCCAGTTCTCAGTTCCTTGCTCTGTTATTTGGGGTCATTTCCTAAATAAACCAACTGCATGCAGTCAATGGGATGTGATGCCAATTTTACACAAACTCTTTCAGATAACTGAGTAGAAGAACTCACTTTATTTTATTAGACAAGCATAATAACCTAGATCCTAAAACCTAATGAGGACATTCTGAGAAAAAAATTATAATAGGTTCATAAGTATGTGTAATCATAGTAACAGATAAATTATTCATAAACCTAAACCAGCCATATGTCATGAAGTTGGACAATAGTGTCATTAATTGTGGTTGATATAGTTGTATATGTACATCATTTAAACAACTCTATGGATAAACGATCAGAAAAAGTACGTGAGTTTATCAAATTATTGATTACCAAGTTCACACACTAAAATCAGTCGCATACCTATAAACCAACAATTAGATAACTGAATTTAAACAAGATGTTTTCAATAGTATAAAATATACTCAAAGAAAAATAACAAAAGATGGACAAGCTTTCCATATCAAATTATAAAATAAAATTGGGGGCAATTAAAGAAAAACAAATAAATAGAAGGACACTCAATGTTCATGGATTGGAAGACCCAGTATAGTAAAGATGTCAATTCTCCAAGACTGATTTACAGTGAGGTCTCAAACAACACCTTTAAAGTGTCCCTTTCACATCCTCCCCCAGTTCTTCTCTATCTCTTGATAAACCAATTCAAAAAGTTTTATAGAAACACAAAGGTACTGGAACAGTAAAAATATGTTTGAAGAAGGAAAAATAAAGTGAAAGCATTTCTCTATGAGAGCTGAGACTTATTTCAGGTATTATCATTAAAAGAAGGGAATGTTCTCAAGGTCAAATATATAAATGGAATAGACTGAGGTTCCCAAAATATTATTTATGGTGAAATGACACTTCAGAATAGTGCAAAAAAGACAATTCTTACAACTCATTTCATTATTTTTTGAACTGAAAAACACTGTATTGTAAATCAGTGTACATGTGCCAAAACAGAAACCTGTGATCAGCATAAAACTTCAAAGAAATCTATAAATTTCCCCCCAAACTTTTCCAGTCATCAGTGCCTACCACTGATTAAGCATTGTAAAAACAGTAAGCTGTGTATGTATAGTAAAAGTGTTGTCCCATTTCTTTCTGTGCCCCAAAGTGCAGCACGTTGAACACTGAAAGGCAATCACACTCTACAACCCTGGAGAATACTTGAATGACACTCTAGTGGCAGTAGCCTCCTGAGAGCTTTGGCAAACGATGGGCTGCAGCCCTTCAGTGAAAACAATCAGACATGGAACACAAAATTATTGCTACTGAAGAGTATTAATTTGAAGCCTGAACCATATTCATGTATGGTTCCTTGTTAGATGCTCAGTAATGAGAGCTAACAGGACCAGGTAGGAGAAATATGCTCCTGGATTACTGCTCCTGGCTCTTTTACTAAATTGAGAGGAGAACCTTAAAAACTAGGATTAAAAAATGTATACTTACTTCAATGCTTTTGTAAATAGTATTTACTGTTTTTATTATTACTAACATATTGCAATTTCAGCTAAATAAGATCTTGCTATATGGTGCTGCAGGAATTTTAAATACATACTGATCAACATTTAAGATGAGAACAAGAATGTTCTCATTGCTTAATTAACCTCTAAGCATATTTTTCTTTATTATTTTCAGCTTATTTATCACTTTGTCTATTGTTGAGTTTGTTCACTGTATCTTTTTGTTTCTATTGTAAATGGCTTCCTCACATTTTGTAATCTAACTGGTTAAGATTTTTGATATACAGCCACTAACTTTTATATGTTAATTTTGTATTATGCTGCCTTGCCAAATTCTTTGTTAGAATTATCTATAAATAATTATGAAGGAATTTCCAGGTATACTATCAGAACATCTCAAAACAGAAAAGTTTTCATTTCACTTTTACATTTTTAATGTGTCTAATTGTTTTCTATTTTTCAATTGCACTGGCTGATACTTCCAGTATTTACTGTTTTTATTATTGTGATCTTTCTTAACCTCATTCTTGACCTGAGGATGCCTTTAGCATTTTTCAAAAGGCTAGAATTTTAAATTTTATACACACAAGTGTAAACACACATAAATTATATATATGCACATGTGTACATATGCACACTACTTACGTATATTACATTAACATATTCATGTTAAGTACTCATCCACCTGGTTTCTGAATAATACTATAAGTAATGATGTGTTGTGAAGCATCCACAAATGTGACTGAAAAATTATTTAATGGATTCAGAAATACTTTCTTTCTTTTTTTTGGTACCAGGGGTCGAACTCACAATCTTGTGCTAACAAAGCAAGTGCTTATGCTGCTGAGCTAAATCCTTGGCCCCGGAAATACTTTCAAATTGGACAATGGACTGATACAACCTTGGAGGTAGGCCCTTTTGAGATAACACATACTCAATCATTAAGGTACTGATGAATGTATTGTGGGAATAGATGTATTAAAGACTTTGGCAGAACACACAGTTTAGGCAGCAGTTCTAAATGTAGTGATTCCCACAGGAGACCTATTTGGATAGAATTTTTAATCATAGAGAAGGGGTAAGAAGAGACCCATAAAAGGTATCACAGACACAAAATACATAATTATCCCTTTTCACTCTTTTTGTTTTTACCCACCAGTTTCCAGATTCTGGGAAACTGGGCTTCTGGTATTTCTAAGGGGCAAAAAATAAAAGTGAGATGGGAGCTGCAAGATTTCTGTATTTCTTTTATTAATCAATTCTGTTTTTTGTTTTGGAAGGATATTAGTAGTAATAATGATCACCTTGGCATGTCTCAGACCAGGAGACAGATGTTCTAGAACAGTATAGTGTATAAAAGGAAATGGCTGAATCACACAGAGAGGAACTTGTTCACACCATGTTACTTAGACATGAAGATTGGAAAGGGGTGAAGGGTTGGCTTTGGGGATCCATCACACCACTTATGTCACCATGGAAAGAGAAAAGTAATCACAGCTGGTAGGAAAGGAACACCTCAGACCTTGGGAGATCAGATGAGAGGTCAGTAACTTCTTAACACTAAATGTTTCTGGAGGGGTGCACAGGCAGTGAATGAAGATAGAAAAGTATTTTCACTTTTTTGTAACTGTTGAATTCTGAACCAGGTGACTGTTTTCTATATTTTTATAAACTATGAAAAATTTAAAATTATACCTAAACTTGAAATGAGAATTTACAAATTAACATTGTTGGCCAGAATAGCTAGTGCCATTTCTGAGGATCTAGAAAAAAAAAAATCACTCAATAAAAACGAAAGATTTTCTTTTAAAAGTAGTATGCACATAATACATTTCTAATATGAAAACATCTTTAATAATGTACATAAACAGGAATAGAGCAAGCTGTTGAATTTTTATTTTTATTTAATGTAACTGATGACTAACAGACAAGTATATTTTAATGTAACAAAAGGTTATCATTGATAAGTATCGTCTACATTTTAAAGGATATTTTAGTGTAGTCAAAGATTTAACATTTGTATTTTTATCCATTTTTGAAATGTAAAATGCACACATATCCATATATCTTACAATTTTAAAGTTTTAACTAAAACATCTGAATCTCTACAAGTAAAAGCAAGACAAATAAAATATACTACTAATAAAGTGCTAATGGGTTAGACAATGCTGTTTCACCTACCTTTTGGGGGAGGGGGATAAAAGCACATAGCAGTATAGGACTAGTCATTTTTATCATACCAGTAAAGAACTAATTTGCAGTATACTTTGTAATAAGCAAGAGTGCTTATTTATAGTAGAACTAACCATAATAAACAATTTCTCTTAAGAAAGATCACAACTATGACTTATTTGTTCAGTCACTGCTGAATATAGTGTCCAGAGTTTTTTAAAAGTGCAATCTTGAACTGAGACAAACCTAATTTTACCTATATCAAGAAATGGTTTTAAGGACTTCATATATAAATCTTTTTATTGTAAAATAGGTTTCTATCTGTTATGAGGAAAGGAGAATAGTGCTGAACAAATGGCAAAATTTGGCAACAAGGATGTTAATAGTGGACAAAGCTTGGTATGCATTGCTGAAAGATGCGTTTTTCACATAAAGAAAATATGTTTATTAGACGTATACAGCACTTTTCAGGCACTTGACCTCACGTGGTAGTTAAATTGGTGTTCAGATGTTTATTTAATGGAAAAATACTGAGTTATACTGTAACTTCAAGTCAAGTTCCCACAGAACAGCTGTGTTCCACAAGCTAAACCTAACTGTTCCTGCTAAAATCAAATAATGACTCCGTATACCCAATTTAGAGAAAAAGGTTCAACAGATTAAACTTAATGGATTGAATTTTGTCAATTTTGGGATTTCTGCCGTGAATTTTTGTTAAATCTTTGTTGCCTATTACTTTATTGAATGCTAATAATAAAAAAACAAAGGCTTGAAACCTATGAAGTATTATGTTTAAAGGACATTGGAAAATTTAAAACTTTGTTGGTATAATACACTGCTTATGGAAATATACTTATATTTTTGATTTTATATTACCTAAGAACCATATTTCCTCAAACTAAATGTGTTCCTAGCTCATATAATAGAATTAAATATGTAAACATCTTAAGGTACCCAAAAGAGCATTATGAATTTTCAGTCTTTGTTTCTAAATATATTTGAGAGCCTACAATGTCTGTTTCAAACTATCATTGGGGTCCATGCCAAAGGAATGCTTTCAAATGCATCACTAAGGATAAGGTTCTGAGGTAAGACCACCCAATGCCATCTTAAAATGAAAAATACAGCAAAATTCCAGTATAGTTGCTACTAAAGTTTCCATTTTTTCTTAAATACTCAGCATATAGTTTAAATATATTGATACTAAGAATTTTATATGTATGCATTGGAGTATTACAATTTTGGAAAATTTTGCTTTATAATTTCAGGCAGTTAGCTTTAAAATAATGAAACTTCAATTAGCATAAACAGCCCTGAGAATAATGCATTTAAATTATAGCTCAACTAGAAATAATCCAATAAAAAATTGTAAGCTACAAAGACAAGTTCTGGAAAGGTTGTAAATTAAAAAAAAATTTACCAACATTTGAGGCACTACCAGACTACAGTACTTTTAATAGTTGGGAGGATTTTGGAAAAAGAATAAATACACAAAGCTATGTGTGCACATACACACACTCATACTGTACTGTAATGAAAAACTGTGTCCCAAACCGTACAGCCTAAATATTTTATTGCAGCATCTTTCTGTTATAAGTACCATGGTCTGGCTGCAGAAATTTTGGTAATTTATATAAAGTACTGGTACAGAAATTTGTACCACTAAGGGAAACAGAGTCAAGAGCGCAGTTAATAATAACTTCTTCAAGTGACTAAGCTCTTGGAGGGGAGCATGAATGAAATATCATAATTAGGTTCATGATGTAAAAATACAAAGTCAAAGCAGCAATGATTTGATTTATGCGCAAGGATATACAATTTTGTAGCAGATAAAGCATAACAGTCTTCACAGTAGAAATAAAACATGTTCTAGAAAGAAAAAGTATTCAACCTGCCAATGCTATCTAAAAATTGGTGAAATGTGTACAGACAAAAATGGTATATTAGCGTATAACCTATAACCATGACAGTCTACTATTTATATACCATAAGTTGTGATGTTTAACATTTGCTACAAAAAAGTATAACAGTACTAAGAATCAACTTGTAACATTTCTCTGATGTCAAAAAAGAACAATGTCACTTCTATGTTAAAAAATATATGCTCCCTGCTTCCCTGTAATACAATTTATAAAGCTTTACTAAATGAATTATTTTGTTCTAGAGAAACACCTATTGATTTACATGAAAATAAACAATCCTGTATATTTAAAATCTATACATATATGTTAGAATATTTACACTCCATATAGTATTTAAAAGGAAACGTTTATGCATAAATAGCTTTTGCCATTCAAGGTATGGAGATAGAGATACATTATTATACTTTGTACACCCTCGTATCACAATTTAAAATATATTTATGCAAAGTTTGACAAGTTATGAAGAACAAAGGCATGCTAATCTAGAATTAATACTAAATCAGAATACTAATATGGTTATAACTAGGGTCAGCTGAATGACCAGCAAGCAGCATAGATCAGTAACATTATGGACTTCCTCTGGGTAACTATCATCCAATAGCAAGTAAGATAAACATCAGAGTACTAAAAAACTAGAATGATGTGTAGTAGATACTTAAGTAGAATGCTAGGAAGAATTCAGCCCAATTGTTAATTGTGCTTTGGATGGGCAACAGCTAAAATGTCATACTAAAGTCAACTAACTACAATCTCAGTATTTCTTGTGCTTTAGAATTCTCTTCTTCACACTTCTTTTAAAGTACCTTGCATCTTCTTCAAAAGGGTTTGCCTAAGCCAAGGTAAGATTTAAAAATGTGTACACATTAAGCAACTAAGACTTTGGAATCTTGGCGCCAAAGTGCTATTTCTAATATTACATATCTTTCCTCTAGATGAAAAGAACAAATGTTACTCTGGCTATGCATCGTGTGAGGGATTTCATAACCAGTTTTAGAGAACTGAGGCAAAATGAGATATAGTGATTTGTTCCTGGTTTATCTCCATTATAATGATTGATACTGAGTTAAATCTTTTAACAGTGTCTAAAATTCTGAAAATACACATATAGGCTAAAAGGCTAAACAGAAAGGCAATATGATGTCACCTGAAATACTTTTAGATAATTTGATTTACCAAATTTTTTATAGTTATAGTTCATATCAGTAACTAAAGTTACAAGACAATCAGAAAAACTGTATATACTTAATTTTCAAATAAAATAGTATTTCTTCCATGATTCACTTTCATTTCACTTTAGACAAAAATGTGCACAAATAAACAAGTCAAGAATTCCAAATCAACTTAAGAATTCCCAGTTTTAGTCTTGTAAATATTTAAAGTAAAAAATTCTATTTAAGTGGTTGGAAAGGAGCAGCTACTGATTATATAGATCTAAAATAAAAAACAGTTTTAGTAACTTTCTTTGCAACTGTCCTTTGTGTATTCTTTACAGTCTGACTGGTTCATGTTCACCAAACAGTCCAATGTCCCTTTGTTAAGTGTAAGCAGATACTAAAATCACTGTAAGGTTGCATTGAGCAAGGTAACATTTGGCAAAGAATAGTATTAGTGAGTATATGTGGTGGCACGTGGCCATCAAAGTAAACGATACTCTGATAATTATGATTTAAAGATTTGTTTAAAGATTTGTGTTTGCCAAACACGGGTTGAAATTGACAATTCCAATCTATAATCTACATATTCTATGATATTAAATCTAAAATAAATGCAGAGCAATTCAACTAAAATGTGGTACTTCAATACCACTAGATGCTACATTGTCTCATTTAAAACCCTGGTTCATTAATCATTTAATCAAAATTGAGGAATGATTTCCTCAGACAAATCATATCAGCTGAGACAGTCTTATCTATTTTGTAGACTTACATACTGAAAACCACAGGAATGTTATAGGAAAGACACCTACAAAATTGAAAAAAAATATAATTATCCAGCTTGATTTTTTAAAAAGTTACCAACTGCCTGAAAAAGTCAACACAAAACAATTTAGAAAAAAAAAGGAGATTAAGATGAGGTTACTTATGGCGGCCATAGCTTTGGTGACAATTAGAACCAAACTTTTATCTCTGCAGCTGATCCAACTTGAGTTTGCTCTTATCTTACGTTCTCATTTATTTGCAGGGCTTTATGGCTACAGCATACTCTTCACTCATTGCACACATGACAGACACCTAGAAGAAAACATGAAGGCAAAACAGTTACTCGCGAGGCAAACATATAGAAGATATACTTAGATCACCATGTGTTATATATTTGTGGACATTTTATATGGATTACTTTAAAAAGGAGTACTCCAAAAAATAATTTTTTATAGTTTTCTGAAATAGAATTTCTCAGATTGTGGTTTTATAAAATAACTTCCAAGGAATAGGGAAAAGAAGAACTATAAATATTACTAGATACACTTCTGAAAGTTGCAACAAAGCATATCTCCTTCACTCTTTAATACTCCTTAGCATCCTTTTCTATCCTTCAGAATATCTTATATGCAAATCTTTAAAGCAAACATTGAGCTGAGTGTCCATGCAGCAAAAAATGAACTTCAATGCCTTCTTTGTAATTGCTTTTGAAGGAGATCATACTCATCATTTCAGCAGTACTTTTAAGAGATATTTCATATGTATTTCATGCAAACTAGTTTAGTCCAAAGTTTTACAAAGTAGTTTAAAAAACGTAGTCCTTCCATAGATCATTACCTGTACATCTTCACCTGCATTATATTTTCCTTCTATTTCTTTGCCTAGTTCACCTTCTGGCAATTTAAGATCCTCACGGACTTCACCAGTTTCTGTCAGCAGGGAAAGGTAACCATCCTGAATGCATATTAGCTATTAGAAAAAAATGTATTATTTGCACTCATTAGATTATATCCATTCTTTTATAATGTTTACATAGTTAAACTGTAATCCACATTGATTTGAGTATTGTAATACATTAATATTTTATATATTTAAAATGCCACAATAAAAATGCACAAAACACGAAGAGAACAGTATAAATCTCTCCTTTCTGCACTCTCCCTTTTAATCTCTGTATTATTAAGCAGTTTAGGCTTTTTATAACGTATCTGAAGCATTTATAATTAAGTACACAATATATATATATGGTTGCTTTTCAAATACAAGTATTTTTCAGCAAGATATTTTAAATTTATACTTAGAAATCTCTCCAAATCAGAAAATGTAGACCTTCCTTTATCTATCTAAATACTACACAAGGACATGGATCTACTGTGACTAAAATTATTTTGCCATTAATGAGCATACAAATTATTTTCAATTTTTTACCATTACAAACAATGTATATTATAATTTGATTGTAAACAAAGTTAAGTTGGAAAATTTTGATCTCCAGCTAATAAGATGATTTTTTTTTTTTTTGTCTTTTTCCTTTTTATCAGTACTGGGGATCGAACCCACGACTGCCTGCTTGCAAGGCAGGAGCTTATGCCGCTGAGCTAAATCCCCAGCCCCCTTCAGCTAATAAGATTTTTTAAAACCTAAGTAACTACTTTGAAGATAATGATACACAATATATTAACTGTTATTATTTTGTTATGAAAGTTTTATTTTTCATAATTTTTTAAAAAAACCAAACACTAGCTTATTGATGACATCAATATAAACAATCCCAGTCATCAACTTAATATGCAAAAAGCACAGTTTTGATATAATTTCTACTATAGGACTAGGCAACAGCGAGCTTTATTTTAGAAGCATATGTGCCATCTGTACACCTCAAATTCCAACAGACTTTTAAAAGATAATCATCTAAAATATCAGATAATAACACATAATAGAAATAATTATTTGGGGCCTCAAAAAGTTTATGCTTTAATCTATTGTTATAATCCTTATTGATTCTCAAATTGCTCTATCTTTGGCCAGTCAGATATTATTTAAATTCTAGGTCCCTTTGACATGTGGTTTTAATGAAATTTATTAAGAAAGCTTAAGCTTTATTGTAGAAAAGTTGCAAAAATAATGCAACGAAGTCCCATATTCTTTACCAAGATTCACTCATTGTTAACATTTAATCACATAAATATTTTATATATATACACATATAAGTTGTACAATTCTTGTTTTTATGGAATCATTTGAGAATTTTCATAGATCATGACTTTTTAGTAATAATTGAATGTTTTCCCTAAGAACAAAGACATAACTCATAAATCTCCTAAGTTCACTTTTTGAAATTGGGAAACTTAATACTCAATGCTTATTATCCAATATACAGTCCATATTCAAGTTTGTCAATTGTTCCAACATTGTTTTTGATAGCAATTTCTCTCTCTAACTCCAGGGTCACACTTTGCATTTATCTAGCTGTCAATACTGGTTTAGTCTCCTTGAATTTGGAAAGTTCTTTACTCTTTGTCATCCATGAGTTGATATTTTTGGTTAAGTATAGGTTTACTGTTTCATGTAATTTTCCACAGTTTGTGTTTGTCTCATTATTTTCTTATGATTCAGGTTAATACATTTTTGGAAGGAATGGTGGGTCGTCAAAGTGTCATGTCAGGCAGCAAATGATGGCAATTTGTTTCACTACTCACGACGTTAACTTTGATCACCTGGGTAAGGTGATATATGTTGTATTTTCCTGTTCTAACGGTATCCTTTTCCCCTTTGTAATGTGCAATCCTTAAAAAAGCCTGTGGTGCCACTGGTAAGCCTGAAACATACTTTACTTTTGTGCAATTGTTCACCTTTTCTCAATGATACTAGAATTGGCAGGTGGGGATGGTGAGGGGAATGTTCTAAGCCAATTCTAAACACTTTCTTCTGATCCTTCACTTTTAAACAAATCTATACATTTCATAAGGGTTACATGGTTTTGAACAATTTTTATTTTGGTAGGGAAGTAATCATTTTGATAATAGAAGCAGGAAGAAGGCAGAGTCAAGGTCAGAGAACTTGTAATAGAGGTGTTAGGTGTGTGGTAGTCTTCTGTGTTCCTGAGTAGTATATGAGATTTTAGTAGTACCAGAATATGGTATCTTTTGTTTTCTAGAATATAGTATTTCTTAGAAAAATAGGTGATTCAATGTTCAGAGAGGTGTATAAAATGAACTTAGAGCAAACTGTTGTACTATTGGGGCTGAGGATTTAGCTCAGCGGCATAAGCACCTGCCTTGCAAGCAGGCAGTTGTGAGTTCGATCCCCGGTACGGATAAAAAGGAAAAAGACAAAAAAAAAAAAAAGAAAAAAAGAACTGTTGTACTATAAAGCAAGGAGCTATCCAGGACCATTAGTTAGTCACATGTCAAAGGGGCCTAGAATTTAAATAATCTCTGATTGGCCAAAAATAGAACAATTTGAGAATCAATAAGGATAATAGTAATAGATTAAAGCATAAATTTTTGAGGCCTCAAATGCTGTTTAATTCACAAACACAAAGTTGTCCTCAGCACAGCTGGGTTCCAGAGCAAGTTTACTTAAAAACATTAAAACCAATTTCATATAAATTTACTATCTCATAAAATATTCTTTTTTTCCCCTAAACATATAAAAATGTAAAATCCATTCTTAGCTTGTGGTCCTCACAAAAAAGACAGTGGACCAGATTTGGTCTATATGCTGTCATTTACTGAGCTTGCTCTAAGTCAGTTTCCAATGTTTTTTAAAATTATAGATATTTTAATGTATAAATTTATTGAGTTTGATAAGATTTTGATGATTTAATGCCCTATGAAAAATCTAAAATACAAGTTATAATGATTCAAGTTACAGAAAATATGACTGAAAAAGCAAATGAGAAAAACAACTTTAAATGTTCAAGTTCAGAGTGAAAAAAAGTCACCTTTAGTACATGCTAGGAACCACCTCATTTTGAGAACTGGTAACTGAAGGGAAAGAATCACTTATACTGGCTTTCTTCATGTATACATACATACGTACATACACAGTATAAACACTATTCCTCAAGGTGAACAAGAGAATGATGAAGGCAATTTTTTATATACTCTGGCTTTTAAAAAGAAAAGCATAAGATTGGTCATGGTGGCATACCTGTAACCTCAGCACTCTGGGAGGCTGAGGCAGAAGGACTTCAGTTTAGAGACCTGGGCTACTCAGTGAGCTGGTAAGACCCTGTCTCAAAATAAAAAAATAAAATGGGGCTGGGGAGGTAGCTCAGTGTGAAGGCCCTGGTTCAATTCCCAACACCACAAAACAAAAACCAAACCAAGGAAAAAGCAAAATGCCTAGGAATGACAAATCATTAATTATCATTATTCTCTCTCTTAATAAATTAATGGATTGAGGCAAAGGTAACGTATAAAAAAAGGGAACAGATTTACCTGATGGTCATATGCAACATCATCTATGAGTCTCAATTAAAAAAATAAAGGGGAAGGAAAAAAAGCTAAACCAAATCTGACCAAGCCTCCTTTTCAAATTTCAAGAAATTGAGCAACAGAAATACATGTTAAACCACAAGGAAACACAATAAGCAAAATCAAGGCAATGAGAAAATCAATAGAACAAATGATTCATCCAATTCTTCATCAAAAAATTGTAGATACACACAACCCAAGTTCATGTGTGAGAAAAGAGAACATAGATGTTTAGGAGATACCAATTTTATGTGGACCTTACATAGGCTCTGACGTAGGCATACTATAAAACAAAAACAGTAATTATAACATTCAATAAAACAAAACAAAGAAAATGAAGATACTAATGAAGTATTTGATGATATTAAGGAATTAATAACTTTTTAGGTGTGATTAGTTTTTTCGTTCTTAGCTTTCAGAGATGTATAATTAAACACTTGAAGGTAAAATAATATCTAGGCTTAGCTTCAAAATAATCCAGAGGTAGTATATAAGAAATTAAGTGATATGTTCATGGCATTCTTGTACTTTGCAGCTTCTTACTATAAAAAATGAAATAGAAAAATGCTTCAGTATATCAAAATCTAGAAAGAACACTTCAAACAAATTCTGAGATATACAGTAAGCTATAGAAGCAAAGGATGAACTAGAATGAAAGTTATAGGGGGAGTTTGTGACTACAAACACTGTCCACGATACAGCCTGGAAAAGAAGAATAAGAAGAAAATCAAAATTACTGAACAGGGAAATTATAAGAAAACTTTCTTTGGTGCCTACATCTGCATTACTGGTATATAAAAGAAGGTTGGGGAAGATTCATTCCTTGCATTGTTGGCTCCTGGTAGAGGGACTGGTGAGACTGTTTTATTTGTGTGTAGGGGGGCAGTGAGGGGTGCTGGGAATTGAGCTGAAGCTTCACAAACGCTGGGCAAGTGCTTTACCACTGAGCTATATCCATGGCCTGACACTGAATTCTTGGGTATACTCTTATACCATCTAAGCAAATAATACTATCATCAACTCCTTTGTGGTACCTGCTAGAAGATCCTAGATGGGCCCAGGGACTTATTTTACAGGTTACAATATATTTCAGAATATGGTTCTATTTTTCCCACAGGTAGAATACATATGTCTAGGAATCAAAGGTGGTGACTCTTCTCACTATTACCCTTAATGATCCTGTAGCAAAATATTTGCTTCTTATCACTGCAACCTTGGGCTTTACTGGTTTACAGGTTTTTATTCCCAAAGAAACTTTTACAAGGGGACATAAGAATTTCACAGACTATGTTAAAATGATAAAAAGACTTGAAGTTCAGGAAAATTCATAGCACCAGTATTTTCTTTGTCACTGTTGTTTTCAGTTACAACAGTAAAATTCAACTCATATATCCAAAAGACTTATTCATTTGAACAACAGACTTGGAATTGATACTCATAATTTTGGCAATTCACCAAATAATCTAAAGGTTCACAATATGTATTTGATGTGTCTCGTACTATATTGTTTTCCTCTTTAGAAAATGATCTTCATATGACAGATAAATCTTGAAAAATGCAGAAAAGGCAAAATAACTTATGGTGGGGAACATAGAGGCAAAGAACATTGTAAAAAAAATGTGATTCAAGAGAGCACAGAAGTCTGAGCAGACATTTCTATATCAATTTGGGGATTCTCAAAGGTATCTGAATGTATTTGAATCTTAACCATTACCGAGCCCTAAACAACAGTAACTACTTTTAGGAGAAGTAATATAAATTAGCAATTCTAATCTAAACTAATCTTGGAAAGGAAGAGTCAAAAGACAGCATTTTTTTTCTGTCTAAATTTACATTAAAAATACATAAAATCTAAACTATATATACTTTTTAATTATTACAATGAACAGATATACTACATATATTTCACTTTAGCCAGCTGCCAAACTGGCACTCAAAATACTGAATTCAGCAAGTATGAAGAACTACACATAGCCAACAATAAAAGTAGGAATTTAACCAAGTCTCTTGGACAGATGAGTAAAGACTAGCATAGCAAAAATAACAGGAAAGGTTAAAGAACTAATTTTTTAAAAAAATGAACAGAAATAAGTAGCATATGTTGACTTGATAATGAGGAAGATGTGGACATTTACTATTCCAGGTTGCAAGTATCAAGACTCAAAATGATCCCAAGAGTGTTTATTATTTGCATCCTTATTTTATTAGTAAGTTACGGTAACAGAGGTTAAATAACTTGCCAACCAAGATCACACACTTATTCAGGGCTTTAATAAGGATCTGGATCTACAGTCTGATTTAAAAATTATCCTTTTAATTCACCACGCTATATGGATCACATAAGGGCTGAGGAAAGGGGAAAAAGTAAATGAGATGCTTGTCTTTGAGTGTAAAATTAAGAAGGCATCAAAAAAAATAGTAGTAATCAAATATTTTAATGTATTTAAAAAACAAGAATGTAAAAAGCACATGATGAACAAAGTATTAACATTTAAATGAAGAGAGGATCGGAATTACAAATGTTTCCTTTTGTGTAGAGGTTATTCCTATGAGCCTCAGTGTTGGTACTACACTTGTCTTTGTTAAAACTTTTACATCTGAGGCAAAGGCCTCATTTACTCCATTTGTTAAACCCCTCACTGAACCTGTATACATGAAAATAAAGTCCTAATCAAATTTTTTCTTTATGTTAAATCTTGAGCTCCAATGAATGATTGGCTAATTTTATCATAGTCGTAAAACACATGAACTATTGTTACTTCCTTTCTGAAATAAGCAACAGGCAAAAGTATTCTATATTGCATGAATATTACTGGCTATAATAAATACTGAGTATTCAAAGTATTATTATTTTAGGGTGGGAGAAAAACCCACTTGGAAAAAGAAAATTCTACGCTCTGTCTGCTGTACCATCTTATAAACATTGCCAAAATGAATAATTATGCATGCAATTAAGTGTTTATTGAGCAATTACTATTTACCACACCTAAATTCAGCGATCCAATATTTACATAATTAAGAGGACTGAAATACAGGCTAGGAAAGCAGAAGAGTACTACTGCTTGGTACGTATGTATCTATGGGCATATTTTCTTAGTTATTCCTCATATTGTGTTTGTTTTATAAAATGAAAGACAAAGGCTTACCGAAGTTTAATAACATCTAAAATCATTGAACTAGTAAGCAGCAGAACTAGACCTACTTGATTCAAAAAATCTACTTGAGGTTATACTAAGCCATTTAAGTTTTACAAAAACTCCAAAGCAGTCTAAAAACCATTAGTAAGTAGGAAAGTACAATTATAAAGATGTTTACTAGATTAAAATTACATAGAAAAATATTTGCACATGGGTAGAATAGAAAGAAATCCTTGAGTAACTTAAGTTGATAGCAACATTCCTTAAAACTTTACATAATACAATAAAAGGTATGGAAAGAAATCAGTTTAAGAAAAAATCTAACTCATATCTTCACTATAAAAACCGAACAGAAGAGTCCAGTATATGGTATTCTTGAAACAGACATTAAAAATTTTCAAAACCTGTTTCAGTTATTGTTAATATGAACTTTCACATCCTATAAGGGCAACTGTTTAAGTTGTAATACTCCAAACAATAAAATGTTATTCAATATGACCTATTTGAAAGTATAACTGGATCTGAAACTTGAACTTTACACATATAATTTCACAAAATGTGACAGCATGTTCACTAAATATAAACAATTTTTGTATTTTATCATATTCAATGACTATTAGCTATTACGTTTTTTACATTATTTTTGTGGCACTGGGGCTCAATGCAAGGATGCTGCATGTGCTATGCAAGTGATCTACCACTGAACTACATCCTTTAGCTCTTTTAAATTTTTTTCTTATTTTGAGGTACAGTCTTGCTAAGTGGCCCGTGCTGGTCTTGAACATGTGATGGTCTTGCCTCAGCCTGGTAGTAGCTGAGATCATAGATGTGAGCCCCATATGTGGCTTATTTTTTGAGTATGGCTTTCACTTCTTTTCCTACTTACTACCAGATTCTGACTTACTTTCATTAACACAAAAACTTGGTTGGTTAAAACATGAATTCCAATAATTTTCTTGAAAGCCTCAGGTCTGATTAGTAAAAAGAAAACATCAAGAAAAAAGTTGCCTGAATTTGAAATATTTTTCAACACTAAGAAATGTAATTGGAAAAAAAAAAGAAATTGGATTAAACACTGCACTTAGTCACAACATGCAGTTAGTTGGTCTGAGGAATGCTGAAAAATGTTCAAGTTTTTAAAATGCAACAATGATTCAATGGCTTCTTATGATGGAAAAAAAAAATAAAATAAAATGCAACAATGCTAAAAAATCACTGTATTTTTCCAATTTGTAAGATAGGTGGTGCCTAGTATTGTAACTGGTTAGACAAACTCAAAAACTACTCTTTTTTGTTACATTACTACTGCTAATAGAAAGTATTTGTATCATTAAGAAATAAGCAAGATTTTAAAGAAAATTAGTACTTACTTGATAATCATTTCTTTTAATATTTGGAACATCCATGTTGTGAGTAGAAGGGCAAATATCTTCATATTTTTTCCCTGTGAAAATGTCAATTCCAACAAGGTGTACCTAAATGATAAAAACAGGAAAACTATTCAATCTCTGCCAAGTATATCAGTCATTACATACACAAGGGCACAATACCAATGCTGATTAAGACAAATTCTCCTTTTTCCAAGGTCATCTAATTTTACTTTCTTTTAAAAAATGCAGTCATAGAATTGAGAGGTAGTAAACACTAAACAGTATCATATCAAGATTACAATATATAATGTAGTAATTTAATTAAAGAGTACATAAGAAAAGTAAGCTTCTTAGAACTGTTAAAACAGGTTTTCTCAGCTGAGACTGAATAGATCTTTTAGGTCACCAGGATTCAAGTAAGTTTTAATGCTCAGTTAATGAAACATTATAAAGATCCAAGAAAGGAACATTACCTTTAAGTATTCAAATAGCTGATCGCCCAGCAACAGAGAGGAGAAAAAATGTTAAATGTTCTTATTACAAAATTTATATAACTCCCAAGATCCATAATGTAACATAAATGATCAAAATCTCAGCGAAGAAGCCAAAGAATGACTTGGAAGCACACTTACTTTGGCATGACCATGCTTCCCAGTTTTGGAAGTTGACATCTCCACTATTTTGCATGGTCGTCCTTTGAGCACCACGAAGCCGTTTTTGCGCAGGGCAGAGCACTGCATAGGGTAAGTGCTGGAAGCCCCAGCATCACCAGTAGTGAAATCAATTTCGTCCGCCATGGTGGGTTAAGGAGATGGTGGTTTTTCCGTGGGAACTATGCAAAAAGTTTTAGTTTGGTTTTTACTAAGGAGCACGCGAGGAGGGCAATGTCTCATTTCAGGTAGATTAGGTACCAAGCATCACGGCCCGTTATTTTTGCATTTATAGAAAACACCCACTCAAGACTACTGGTCCTCTCTAACTCTGGCCTCTACAAACTTTTCCAAGCATCGGTGGGGTGGTGGGGAGGGAAGCCGCAGAAGTGCGTGCAGGCTGGGCTAAGAGGGACACCCCGCCCAGGCTGGGTACAGCAGGTCCCGGTGCCCATCGCCCACCGCACACGCCCGCGACCTTCCCGTACCGCGCCTGGGGCCCTCTGCCGCCGCCCCGCTCCACTGCGGGGGCCCAGCCCAGGCCGCATATCCCCGCCGGCCCGCAGCGCCTGGCATTCGGGCAGCGGGCGCGCACTCCGCCCTGCACTCGCAGCGCCGCCGTCTGGCAGCACCGGCGCCCCCCGTGCTGCCGACATCCCGGCCCAGCCCCGCTAGGCTCGGCCCAGCTCCGCAAGGGCCTGACAGAGCCCCGGCGGGTCCCGCGCTCGCCTCCCTTCTCTCATCCACCTTTCCTCCTGGCCTCGGTCAGCGCTGGGTTCTGGCCGCCCGCCTCAGCCCTGCCTGGTCCAGTTCCAGCCCTGCCAGTTTTTCCCCAGATCTTTACCTTTAGCAGGCTCACAGCACCTCGAGTGCCTGCGTACCCGCGCCGGTCTCCTGCAGCTGCTGCTGCGGCGACAGCGGTAGCGGCCGCAGCAGCTCGGAGAGACGGGGCGGGGCCGCCACACTTTCCACACCCCGGCTTCCCCGCCCTTTCCCGCCCCCACCGCAGCCCCACTTCCGGGATAGGCCCCAGCGCGTCAGAGGCACCGCCCTCCATAGCTATCATTGGCTACGAGGTACCTAAGGCCCCGCCCAGTCACGTGAAGCGCGCCCTGGCAACCCCACGTGCTATGGATTAGTGCACTTCCGGCGTGAAGTGCGCTTTGAAGAGCCTGGCTGCCGAGGGAAAACTCGCCGGCGAGGCGGTCGGTCTCTTCGCCGTAGTTCAGGCCCTAGTCGATGTAGCTAACAAGGGCGAACCACGCTCTCAGGGGCCCTGGCCCTCAGGTGCGTGGCAGTTGTCACGTGACAGTTTTCACTGCTCGAGAGTCGCGCAAATTCCCGGAGCGGCCGGCATGGAGGGGCTGTAGAGGGAAGTTGGAGCTTCTAGTTCAGCGTGCAACTCTCCTTGCGGGTTGGAACCCACACGTGTTCCCTAAAGACAACACAGTTGCAGCATTTGACAAACAGGCCTGCATCATGAGTTCGGCCATAAAAACTGTGCAATCTGTGGTGAGATTTTGGCGGCGATTTTGGCGTGTGCTCCACCAGTCAGTAGTACTTTCATGGGTGGGGACTCCAAAAACATCCTGCAGTAAAATGACCTCAGCCAGGCCTAAGACAGAGGCTGTGACAGAGTTGTTGAGGAAGATAGTTTGCCATCCAGAAAGGTGTGCTTTCAAATATCCTGGCATTGGCAATCCGAGTTTGGATTTGTTCATACACGTTGGAGACATTCGATTGATATCAAAATTGTCCTGGAGGATATAGGCTAGAGCTTAACTTTTTCTATTATTATTAGAATGATTGTAAATATTTAAGGAAAAATTACGGAGTCAGCATACTGAATATTTCATCTGCACTGTATGTTTAATCTTGACTGGTGGTAACTCATATTTAATCTTTTGTCGTAATTTATATAAAATTCATTTTCACTAAAGTCTGTTTTGAAAAACATAGTTGTATAATCAAGATACAGAATGTTTTCTTCATTCCAAGAGTTTCCGATGCCTTTTAGTGATTTGCGTCTCACTTTAAGACCTTGACAACCATTAGCAACTGTTTTACATGCATTTTGAGTTATAGAAGAAGGCAGAGAAAAGTAGTTCTCAAATCACACAGCTAGTGTGACTCTAACTAGTGGTTCTCTGACAGAGAACCGAGACTGAAATCTAGTTTGGGTCCAGACTATTACCTAGTCATTGTATTCACATAATATTTGGATTTGGAATAAGATGATTGAACTTCATTCAACAAAAATAGTCCATTCTCCTGAAGCTGGTGAATTGGCAAACACTGAGGCATTACTTCTTAGGGGAAATACAGACTGAACTTTCTGTGAGCCTCTTATCACAACAGTTTCATTAACTAGTCAGGATACTGTTGTGTGTTTTTCTTAAAAAGATACCTTGTTTAATATATTTTGAGCTCATTGCTAACTACACTGAAGTTCATGACCTCAGGTATCTTACATTCGCATATTTTCCTCTATAAGGCACCCTATAGCCTTTCTGTATTTAGAAATACTAGACAGCTTCTCAGGATGATGCTTGGGGCCATTTACAGCAATGAAATAAAAAATGGCAATAAATACACTGAAAAAAACACTTCTTTACATTTTGACAGCTGATGCTAATGGAGGGCAGTGCCATGTTTGACCTGAGCTAAGCAAATATATATTGGATGACTGAAAATCTCTGTGCATGTTCACAAATGACCTAAGAGAGTATCATAGCACAGTAAATACTGATTTGGGGTTTAGGAGAATATTTTATCATGTATATAAATACCTAAATATGGAATCTAAAATAATAAGGATAGACTATATATATTTTAGCACCCATACCTCTGAAATCTCCATACTAACCAAAACAATCCTTTGTTTTGGTTGTTTATACTAACAATCCTTTGTTTTGGTTGTTGTTTATACTAACAATCCTTTGTTAGTAATCCTTTGTGCTTAGAGTCTAGTGCGGGAGATAGCCTACAATTTTAAAAAATAACTGCTTGTAAAAAAATAAGTGCAGAACTGAAAAAAAGAGCTCCCAGTCATCTGACCACATAAAACCCTTTTTAAAAGGAGCTCCTCCTTATGTAGTATCTGACCACATAAAACCCTTTTTTAAAATGAGATTAATTTCAAGTATATTTTACTTAGCCCAATAAATACCTCTAAAATATTCACATATAACCAATATAAAGTAATTAGTAGAATATTTTGCATTCTTTTTTTCCACAGTAAGCCTTCAAAATCTGGTATGTATTTTTCACTTAATGAGACATCTCAATTCATACTAGGCATATTTCAAGTGCTTAGCAGCTGTGTGTGGCTGGTGGCTATCATACTGGATATCACCAATCTAGAAGTGAAAATGTCACTTTGGTACTCTGGAGATGAAAGTCTAATTTAAGATTTGAAAACTGGGTAGAAATTATCAGTGCAAGGAGGTTTGGATAAGACATTTTGCCAAAGAAAATGGGGATTCAAGGCACTCTTAATAGGTGAAAGAATCATAGAATCTTTCTTGTACTGCAAAGGACTTAATGTATGTCAGGTGCTTTAAAGAGTGACTTGACTTAATGTATGTCAGGTGCTTTAAAGAGTGATAAATTGATTTAGACATTCTCCCCAGGACCATAAAAAACTCTTAATTGTATAAGAAAATGACAATTTTTTAAATACAGGAAGACCAATCTAGTTATATAGAAAAATTTTAGAGGTGAAACTGTTGGAAGTAAGTAATCAATTATAAAGAAAAAATTATCTTGGTCAACAAAGGGGTCAGTGTGAGAAAACAGAAAGCAGGCAGTTGTAAAGGAAAATGGAGATATTGTCATAATTCTATGTTGGGAACAAAATAGGCATACGATGTAAAAAAGAGGAACAAGTCCAGGTGTGACTCTGGTTATGACATGAAAAATTGGGTAAATGATGGTACCGTTTGTTGAGATAGAATAAATAGAAGAAGCCATTTTCCAAGGAAAGTTGAGTTCACTTTTAACTAGACTAAGTTTAAGATTCTTGTGAAAGAATCCACCTATCCAAAACAGACACACATTTGTGAATCATCAGTATATAGATGATTAGTAAAGGGTTGTAAATAGTTGAAATGTTTTTGGGGTAAGTGTGCAAAGTGAAAAGGCAAGAAAACCTAAAACAGAGCCATGCTCTATTTAAGAAATAGACAAAGGAAGAGGAGAATGATAAAGAACATTGTATTTTTTAGGATTCTTTTGTGGTAAGCAACAGAAACCAACTCCTAACAACTTAAGAAGCAAGAACAAAGGAATGATAAGGAAGAACCCAGGTTTGAAGGAAATCCTGATAGGACAAAACCCATAAAACTTTACAGTTTGTATAAAAAGAACCATTGTATAATCTCATCAGAAGGCACTAGAATGAACAACCTGTGTCAATAGAGTCTAAGTTAATATTCTAAAAGATGGAATTCTAGTTGCTCTAGCTTTTACTTTCTCACCACCTCTTGACAAGGTACCTTGTTCCAAAAGTTCTATTTCTCTTTGTTTTATCAAGGAATTTCCACTGTAATTTTTCATTGAAATTGAGGGATACTTGATTCAAAATAGCATTAACCAAACCCCAAACTATTTTGCATAGCTTTCTATCATTGTAGTAAAAAAATCAACTTGTAAAGAATTGGCTCACAATTTTGGATGTTCTAGTGTATAAGTTAAGTCCATTGCTTTTGGGTCTATGGTGAGGCAGCACATCAGGGCAGGAGTGTACAGCAGAGCAAGACTTTATGGCCAGGAAACAAAGGAGAAAGAAGAATGGGGCCAGGGTCCTACAGTCCCTTTTATGGTCACACCCCCATGACCTAAACATTTTTCTATGCTCCACCCCTTAAATCTTCCACTGCCTCCCAAAAGCACCACCCTGGGATCCAAGCCCTTAACACCCGGGTCTTTGGAGTTACTCAGCCATACACACCAGAAAATTAAGGCTGCTTAATTTTTTAAATATTTCTCCCATAATTGTGTTCCCTCCTTTTCCGCAAAACATTTTCATGTGTTTTCACATTTTAAAACTTATTTACATAATGTACATTTTTATAATTAAAATCATTTGTGCAAAAGATGGCACTCTGATTAAACTGCATTTTACAACATGCAGGGCACTTAGGACCAGCTTGGATTTTATGCTAGAGTTCACATCCTCCCACCCAGCTTCCTTCAGTGACACACACATTATTTCCTCTTCTAACTGCCAAGTAGAAAGATGGCAAAGCAGGACTAGCCTTCATTGTCAGTAGTTTTCTGCTCTTTGATATGAAAGGGTGTCACAGTCATTTAAACTTGATCCAATTTTTTATATCTTACAAAGCAAAAGAAACCAGTGTTTTAAAAAAATTAAGCAAAAATGGAATTCAATAGAGTAGTATTGAGTAGTATTGATATAGCGGAGTGAAACTCCTGACCTACTATATATCTGGAATGAATTCACATTCTCTAAAATCAAAGAATGAATATTAGGAATAATGAAGGGTAAGAGCAGAAATATTTATTGAAAGGAAGAAAACATCTGTCAGAGAAAGACAGACGGGGTACCGAGTGGGTTGCCAAAGATTCTATATTTTCTTGGGGTTTTTATGGAGTAAAATCATGAGGTGAGGCAGGTCTAAAGTTGGGGAAAACTGGGAACTCGTGAGTAGACTGGCAGGAGCTGGGACAGAGCTATGTTTAGCCAGTAAGATTAATAGCTCAGGTAAAATTGATTAAATTGGAAGCAAATGGGGAAGCAAGGCATGTAGAAAACGGGTATTCTTAGAGAGCAGTGACTCTTCCCTAGGGATTGGGATGATGACTCTGGATCTAGACTGAATCTTTATCCAGATTTAATCCTTTATACTTAAGGTGTGGCTGCATTTGTTTTGCCTTCTTTCCCAAGATCTGGACAGCAAGAGGTGTGTCTCCTCCAAGGTCATCAGACATCTGGTGCTCTGTGCCCCCTTCCTTGAGGGCCTAACCCTGTCT